ATACACCATGCCATGGTCTTTGCCTCACCCCCAACAATAAATAAAAACTTAGAAAGCCAGACATTTAATGCACAGATAGTCAAGCACTGTGGATGCAGTGAATGTGTCGAAGGAGAAGACTGGAGATCTGGAAAGGTGTTCTGAAGAAATGACAGTAACTTCTGAAGGGGGCAGGGGAAGCAAGAACCAGCAAGTGCCAACGCATTTCAGAGTTCGAGAACGCTGGGAAAAGACCAGAGACCCAATTCAAATCGCAATTAGCTAAGTTTATTAGAACTGCTAGCAGGGCAAAACCCTTAAAAGCAAAATTGAAGGCATGCTACCCAGAAGGGGCTTAGGGAAGGGTCTTTAAAGGTGAAGACCACCTTACCCTGTTTCTGTGGAGTTTGCAGCCATGTAAGAAACTGCTTCACTCCCCTCACCCATGTGAGGAGCTGTCTCTGCACCCTGCTCACAGCCATAAAGGACATACCCCACTCCCCTGTATGCAGTGAGAAGTGGGTTTACAGAAGCCAGAGCAAGCTGTTAATCATCTCTCCGCAGTTACATCATTCTGGAGAGGATGCTGGTTGCTTGGAGCTCATCTTTCAGAAATTTAGGTCAGAGGCTAATGGCTATGAAGGAGATCTTGGTACAGAATGGAGTTTCCTTAGTCATCATAATGGCACACAAAGGTCTTGAGGTAGGATGTGGCAAGTTGAAGGAACAGAAGGTCTAGAAGAGGAAAATGATGGACATAAGGCAGGCAAAGGCTGGATCTTGGAGCTGTTTAGGAATCTGAGCTTATTTTGTAAGATCTGGGAAGATCAAAAGGTCAACAAGAAACTATGGAAGCAAATATCAGTAGCAGCAATAACAGCTGAGCTTTGTGGGAAACCAAGATTTAGTTCTGAAGGGGAAGGAGGTTGGGAAAAAAGGCCTAAGTTCTAAGACAAAGGAGGTGATCTATCACTCAGGATGCTGAGACAGGAGGATCATGAATTTAAGACAGACTCTGTCTTATAGTGACTTCCAGGGGGCTGGAGAGATGGTTCAGGGGTTGAGAGCCCTGGCTGCTCTTCCACAGGCCCTGAGTTCAATTCCCAGCAAGCATATGGTGGCTCACAACCATCTGTAATGAGGTCTGGTGCCCTCTTCTGGCATGCAGATATAGATGGAGGCAGAATGTTGTATACATAATAAAATTTTTTAAATCTTAAAAAAAAAAAAAGTAAAGGGAGTTCCAGGACAGGCTCCAAAGCTACAGAGAAACCCTGTCTCAGGAAAAAAAAAAGGAAGGAAAAGAAATAGAGATTGGAGGGGTATCTCAATAGTAGAGGACTTGCTTAGCATGTACAACCCCTAGTGTATACCACCAATAGATAATAGAAGCAAAGAATACTTAACCCTATGGAGAGATACTTGTGCAACTGAATGAAGAGGGATGACTACAAAGGAATAGCAAGCACATTTTGCTCCTCTTTGCAAAGTAACCAAAATGTATGTCTTATATATTTGTATACCCAAAATACGCCACGAATGTCCACAAGTGTTATTTTAATAGTCCTAAATAGGAAACATGTCTATCAAGAGTGGAATTGGTAAATGACGGTGTAGTCACACAATGGAATACTGTGCAGCTATGAAGAGTGAAGTATACTCAACAATGCCCATGATTATCACTAGCATAATGGCAATAAAACAGATAAAAAGATTATGATTCCACCTGTGTGAAGTCTAACAGGCAAAATTGACCTGTGCTATTAGAAGTCAGAATGGTGACTCTTTCTACTCCCCTTTTAGTCATCTAAAAAATTGTGCGTGAGTATGGTGGCACATGTCCAGAATCCCAACACTTGGTAGGTAGAGTCAGCAGGATCAGGAGTTCAAGGCCAGCCTCAGTTCTGTTGTGAGTTTAAGATCAACCTGGGCTTCATGAAACTCTCAAATGAAAACAAATTATGATAAAATACATATGTCATGAAGTTTATCATTTACATTCACACTATTGTGTAATCATTCCCAATAACTAGTTCCAGATTTTTAATATTTTTGTTCTATGTGTATGAGTGCTTGTCTGTTTGTGGATCAACAGGTGTGTGTGTGTGTGTGTGTGTGTGTGTGTGTGTGTGTGTGTTTACCAATGGGTACAATGTCTGTGGAGACCAGAAGAAGGCGTTGCATTCCCTGAATCTGGCGTTAGCGGTGGTTGTGAGCTGCCATGTGGGTACTAGGAATCAAACTGGAGACTTGTGGAAGAGCAGCCAATTCTCCAGCCCCACTCCCAGAGGGTGTCTGTCCTTGAAGAGGAGGAATAATGACCGGAGAAGCACCTTGTTATGGTAATTGTTCCTTTAAACAAACTCTGGGTGTTTCTGTAGTGATGATGTCTCCATATATATCGACTGTACTTCTCTGTGTGGATGGTCTACCTAAATGATTGTATATAAATAGTTTTGCTAAGTGGTTGTCTCTCACTTTAAAGGTAGGGTTCTGAATCCTCTTTGTTTTGTCAATTTTATTTTTTTAGTTGGTCTTTATGAACACAAGTATTACTCTGGCAACAAAATTTTAAAATGTAAATCATTTTAAATAAAAGAAGTATATTAACTTTAATCTTCAAAAGAAAATGTTCTTTGCAATCTAGGGCACTAGGACCCTGCTGTGTCAGGGTTGACATTTCTGTGTTTGCCCCAGGCCTATATGGTTCTGTATCTCTCCTGTCACCTCTTTTACTTGGGGGGAGGTGTAGAAGGCATATGTAACGTGTAGTCTTCCCGCCAGCTGCCTGGGGCCCGCAGCTGTCTCAGCCCCCAAATAACACACGAAATACTATATTAATTATGAAGCTGTTGGCTATTTGCTTGATTTCTTATCAGCTAGCTCTGACTTAATTATTAACCCGTAACTGCTAATCTGAGTATTTCCACGTGGTCTTCTCTTACCAGAGAAAGGGTCCAGACCTCTTATTTCTCCTGTGTCCTACATTGTGACTGACTGTGCCTCAGTTTCCCAGAATCCTCCTCGACTCTTAGTCCCACCTATCTTGCTTCCCTATTGGCCAACAGTGTTTTATTTAATAAACCAATCAGACAAACATATACACAGAAGGACTTCCCCCATCAGTGTGTGGGCACAGATGAAGAGGGAGGGTGTCCCACTCTCCTTGGTCCCTGGTTGGTTATCTCAGTGAACTCATCCTTGCCAAGCTAGAAGTACACCTGTAGCAAAAGCTGAAGATTTGAGAAGATAGAGACTGAGGTATATAGGCTACCTGGACAGGCGTTAGACAGTGGGTGCCCCCCCCCACACCGGGGCATGTAGAAGGCAGGTGATCTAGAAGTCTGTCATCTAGAAGGCAATGAAGGGTTCCCCTATTCTGTGATCTAAAATGCGAGTGGCCTTCAGTGTGTCATCGGGAAAAGAGTAGCTCCAGGAAGTTTAGCAACAGAAGTCATTGCCGGCCTTCCTCAGTCATATTGCATCCACAGGAGGCGCTGTCTCAGGAGTGGGTTGCACCCACAGGAGGCGCTGTCTCAGGAGTGGGAATACCTTGTGCTGTGATTCATATCTACTTTCACTTATGTCCTACCGAGTCCCCCCAGGCTGTTGCCTTCCCCGCCCCCAGCTTCCAGTCCTCTGTGTCTTTCCTAGAGCAGTCATTACAATGGCTAGGAGTAATGAGCTGCCAGTGTGGCCTCTCTAACAACCAGAACTAAGTCTCTCTGATCTTTGCCTCCTCAGCTCCAAACAACTCCAGGCTCACAGGACACACTCAATCCATGTTGTCCTAAATTGTTGAAGACATATCTACCCTTGAGCCTTTCCCCACGTGCTGTGACCGCACACTCTGCTTGGTGTACAGATCTCTTCCTGAAGAAATTATTACAGATGATCACCCTGCCACCAAGCTGCATCAGTATTCACTGGGACTCCCCAAGTGGAAGCACTTGTTAATTAAGTTGCTTATGCCTGCACTTATAGAACAGGAATTCCCCCATGCACACTAAACTATGTCTGTTATGCATTACCATTTTCCTGTTAAGCAAGCCAGGCCCTGTGCTTGTTCATACTCTAGTTAGAAAAGCAGTGACTTGCTGTAGAAGGATTTCATCCTAGAAGAGTATAACAAAGTGCATACCTTACTCAATCCTTGGTCAGTCATAGCTTCCCTGAGGAACTGAAATTTCTGCAAACACTCAAGTTTAAGTAGAAGGTAGCTAGGGACAATGGGGTGATAAAAGAGCTGAGGTCTGGGAGGGGTTAAATATTCAAGGATCTTAGCCGCATTGCCAATAGCTGAGTGTGGAACTGAGGACTGAGGACAGTGCCCAGATGAGGTCAGGGAAGCAGGCACTGATGAAATGAAAGACGCCTCGCTGTTTGCTTCAGACAGGAATCTTTGGTTGAAAGTGACCACTGATCCACTAAGAAAAAAGAGGTCCTTCATGGGCTCAGTAGCTAAAAGTTTAGGGCTTTCAAGATCAAAGATGTCATTGAGTTTTGACACCTCTCTCATCTTTGCGCTCCTTTGTGTTAGCTTCATTCTTTCTCTGTGAAATGGTCCCCTGATCTCCCCAGAACACAGAAGACCACTGGAGTGGAAGGGATCATTGATATTGGCTGCTTATCCATGTCAGAACCTTCAAGGCTACCTTAGTTTCAGGAGGTCTAGACCTTTCTAGCTTAGATTTCCCCGGAAGGATGGGAAGATCTTGGCCTTATAGGAGCTTAAGAAAGCAGAGAAAGGGACAGGTAAAGAAGAGACTCTATTCCAAATCTCCAAAGCGATTTGCTTTTTAAAACTAGCTAGCTCCCTGTTCCCTCCCAAGTCCCAACTTACATTTTCTCTGCTGCATCCTTAGCTCTCCCGAAAGCAGAATCATTAGTTTGGATAAGAACGTAAGGGAGGACAGGAACCCCAGAAACGCCCCCAACACATCCCATGTCCTAAGAGAGCCCTGACCTACTTCTCTTCCTCCCTCTCTCCTCCCTCCCAGCTCTGCTCAAACCTCTCCAAGTCCTGCCCCAACTTCGGGGTATTTGAACTCGTCCACTGAGCAGTGGGTGGCTTTCCCCTCACACACAACCCACCTAGGCATGACCAACCAAAGAGCATCCCACCCAGGGACCACCTTTTTTTCCCTGGGATTCCGCGCTTCCGCCTCCGGGGCGGAGACTCCTCCCCTCGCAGTCCCAGTTGTGTTCCCTGGAAGAGCCGCCAGGACCGGCCAAGAAGCCGGGTCCCCTTAGCATTCCAGGAATTCGTTCAACCCTGGAGGCCGGGAGTCCTACCCGGGAAAAGGCTGAGATTTCAGCACCACGGACAGTGCCCCGCCCGCTGTCCTAGTGTCGGCGAGGCCGCGCGCTATGGTGGTGGCATGGCCCCGTGCTCCAGCTCTATGGCGCTGCTCCTCATCTTCGGCCTTCTCTGGCTGTGTTCAGGTAAGAACTGGCAGGCCAGGTTCCCCTGCCCCAGCTAGGGCTCATGACGCCAAGTTCTGTCACCCCTGCCAGGACAAAGGCAAAACGAGGGATTCTCTAGGGGTAGAGGAGCCGGCTGGGGGATGGGGAGAGACTCCAGGGTCTGCAGGGAGCGCCTGGAAGACTAATCTGGAAGGAAGACCCGGGCGCAGGCGCAGGCGAGAGGCCAGGGAGAGGTGGAATCCTGACCATTGCCGGGAAGAGGCAAATGAGCACAAAGAAGAAGGAAGAAAGAAGAGCATCCTGAGATGACACGAGGCTTGACAGCATTTGACTTTTTGCGACCCGGGTTAACGCCTTCCTCCCGGCTCCCCACCGTTTCCCATTTCCCTCGTTGGGGTCCTGATTTGGGTCACCCTGCAGGGATGGTCAAGGATGGAAGGGAGAGCAGTGACTTCCCACTTCTCGTAGGATGGGTCAGGAGACTTGGAAGAGTAGAAAATGCCAGACTGGGGGCGAGGGAGGCGGTCTGCAGGGTGTTCAGGAGGTGTGCTCTTGGAGAGTCACAGAAGAGGATGCACGAGGTGAGGGCCTGTACAAGGCAACACACTATAGAACGAACTTTCCACGCCTACATGACAATACAGGGGGTGGGCGCCTGCACCCACAGGCCAGGCATCCCCACTTCTGCTCCAACCCATGGAGGCAGAGATCTCAAGCTTCAAGGCTTGTCTCTTTGAGACTTTTTGTAGGGGGAAACAGGTCCCCATTAATCTTTGCAGAGTGGGTGGTTAGTCTAGAGGTGTCTACGGAGCCGTTTGGACTCGTGGTATGGTCTCAGAGAAGGAGTTTCTGTAATCCTGTGGCATTACCTAACATTTTCCGAACTCCTTTAAGCACAGGGCTGTAAGAGGCTATGACTGAATTAACTGATCAGTCACCCCACTGCTTGAGTAGGGGAGCCTTTGTGAGCCCTTCCGTTTACTCACACCCTGCCTGCCTTGCCCAGGGGTTTTGGGCACTGACACAGAGGAGCGCCTAGTGGAACATCTCCTGGATCCCTCCCGCTACAACAAGCTGATCCGTCCAGCCACCAATGGCTCTGAGCTGGTCACTGTGCAGCTCATGGTATCACTGGCTCAGCTCATCAGTGTGGTGAGTGTGAGTCTCAAACTCTTTGTCCAGCTACGGAAGTCAGCCCAGCCAGAAAGGGTTAATATCTGAGCTTACTCCTTAGGCGCTTCTAAGGTGGTGGTGGTGGGGATCTTAAGAGGGTGGTGGGAGTTCTGAGGACTGGGGCTTCTCAGCAGCTGCTCTGTTTCCCTGCAGCATGAGCGGGAGCAGATCATGACCACCAATGTCTGGCTGACCCAGGTCAGTACTCTTTTCTACCCCCCATCTCTCTTTCCATCTCCTTCAGAGGGGAGTCCTCAAAAGATGAATATGCATCCTTATTTGGGGGCACTCACCAGCACTGTAATTATTAGAGTCTGGTCTTGCTGGGTAGCCCCGGCTGACCTAGAACTCACTATGTGGACCACGGTGGTCTTGAACTCCCAGAGATGTCTGCCTGTCTCTGCCTCACTAGGATTAAAGGTAGTCACTACTGTACCTGCTTGACTCTGTGATTTTATACACATTAAACACTCCCAAGATTCATTTTCACATCTATAAGGTCTAATACCCTGGCTCAGCTGTGTAAATTAAATGAAGAAGCATCATCACATGGCCCGTGTCTGGGCAGAGAAGTCACCGTGGTGTGGAGAGAAGGCTGACTTTTCAAGTTTTCCACAAGCCATATGAGTTCTCTTTTGTCCCTTTCTTTGACTCTGGTCCCCTTTGGGGCTAGAGCTTGATACTGCCTCCGTTCTCTCCTTTTCCCAGGAGTGGGAAGATTATCGCCTCACCTGGAAGCCTGAGGACTTTGACAACATGAAGAAAGTCAGGCTCCCTTCCAAACACATCTGGCTCCCAGATGTGGTCCTATACAACAAGTACGTGACCCTGGAGTTATAGGAAGGTTATGGAAGACTAGAGGTGTGCTTGGGAGGGGATAAAAATAAATCATGGGGTGGGGGTCCAAGGAGAGGGCTTTTCCCTGGCAGGTTGCAGACAGGCATTATCCACAGACAGACCCAACTAGTGGAATGCAGTATGGGTAGCCATGGTTACTTGGACCTTGATCAGTCCTTCCCAGCTACTTAGGTCGCCAGTTTTTGGAGCTGGGGTAGGGAGAGTGAAGACTGACACTTCTCAATGCCTAAACTGATTCAAGAATAGCCACTTCTTGAAGCCTGGGTGGTAACAAAGAACTTATGGTTCTCATTTCACCTAAATTCCATTCTGTTCCTTTCAATGAGTCTTCTCTTTGCAGCGTAAAACTCCCTTAACGGATGGAACTGCCCACACCCCTTCGTTGCTTGGGGCTCCTTGCTCTGGCCTCCCTGGCTGCCCCACCTCTTTGCCCTCATGAGGACTAGTCAGCTTACACAATGAGGGACAAGCAGCAGATTCACCCCCCTCCATTATTCTCTTCTACACGGAGGGATATAAATGCCCAAGCATATCCCCATGCCCAGCTCCTTTCCTGCATGGTATCTGTATATTAGATGGTCACTCCCAGCCTGGGTCCTCTTGCTGGGTCGATGAGTGGAATGGGGACTCTCAAGCCAGGGCTGATTGCTCCATTTCTTGGCAGTGCTGACGGCATGTATGAGGTATCCTTCTACTCCAATGCGGTGGTCTCCTATGACGGCAGCATCTTTTGGCTACCGCCTGCCATCTACAAGAGTGCATGCAAGATTGAGGTGAAGCACTTCCCGTTTGACCAGCAGAATTGCACCATGAAGTTCCGCTCATGGACCTACGACCGCACGGAGATCGACCTGGTTCTCAAAAGCGATGTGGCCAGCCTGGACGACTTCACACCCAGCGGGGAGTGGGACATCATCGCGTTGCCAGGCCGGCGCAATGAGAACCCAGATGACTCTACCTACGTGGACATCACCTATGACTTCATCATTCGCCGCAAGCCGCTCTTCTACACCATCAACCTCATCATCCCCTGCGTTCTCATCACCTCGCTGGCCATCCTGGTCTTCTACCTGCCCTCGGACTGTGGTGAGAAGATGACACTTTGCATCTCCGTGCTGCTGGCGCTCACGGTATTCCTGCTGCTCATCTCCAAGATTGTACCTCCCACCTCCCTTGACGTACCGCTGGTGGGAAAGTACCTCATGTTCACCATGGTGCTAGTCACCTTCTCCATCGTCACTAGTGTGTGTGTGCTCAACGTGCATCACCGTTCGCCCACCACGCACACCATGGCTCCCTGGGTCAAGGTGGTCTTCTTGGAGAAGCTGCCCACCCTGCTCTTCCTGCAGCAGCCACGCCACCGCTGTGCGCGTCAGCGCCTGCGCATGCGGAGGCGCCAGCAGGAGCGCGAAGGGGCAGGTGCGCTCTTCTTCCGTGAGGGCCCTGCAACTGATCCATGCACCTGCTTTGTCAACCCTGCATCAGTGAAGGGCTTGGCTGGGGCTTTCAGGGCTGAGCCCGCATCTGCAACTGGCCCAGGGCACTCAGTGGGGCCTTGCAGCTGTGGCCTCCGGGAAGCAGTGGATGGCGTGCGCTTCATTGCAGACCACATGCGAAGCGAGGATGATGACCAGAGCGTGAGTATGAAGTGTGAGATAGGCGCGTTAGGAGCAGGGGCCCCTGTGTGCGGGGGGGTAGGTGCTGCTCAGAGTCACAAAACAAGAGTACAGGGGAGAGGCAGCACGAGTGAGGTTGACTAGGGTGGGCTGGCAGACTGTCTTGCCTGCGCTGGAGTCTGTACCAGATGGATGACCTTGCGGCTCCCCGAAGAATAGTACTCAGGGAGAGATGCATCCACTGGGACCCCATCAGTGTGAGGGAGGTAAACCTTAGGGCAGGGAGGAGTTCTGTTGGGTTTGAGGGTGTCACCGAGTTTTTCCGTGTGGGTCACGTGACCACATCCAAGCGTTAATGTGTTGTTGCTCTTAATGCGAGTGGAGATGAGTGCTTGTGGACCACAGAGCAGGGACAATTGAGGGCAGTGGTGATGCCAGACAGGGAAAGGCAAGTTTATAGGTTCTATGGGGTTGATTCCAGTGGAGAGAACAGAATTTAAAATCAATATCCCATTTCTGCTGTCCTGGGCCTTAAAAAGAGTCTAATGAAATATTTATAGAGATGGGGTGGGTGGAGACCCAGGTTCCCTGGAGTCAGTCATCTCTCCCTCTTTCTGAACACCCAGCCCCCCCCCGCCAGTCTTCCCAGAAGGGGATTCCTTGAGACTAATCCAGGAGTTGGGGGAAGGTGCAATAGCTTGACAGCCTATCCCCCATTTTGGGTACCATCTGGCCTTCCCTGAGATCAGTGATCAGGTACCTGGCCGGTTCTAGGCCAAGGCTCAGCTGTTGCTACAGTGACTGGCAAGGTTTCCTCTGGGGCTGCCATTCCTGCTGGGGAAGGAGAGAGGGCAGGCACTGTGGGTTTTGTTGGGAGCCGAGTTCAGACATCGTTTCCTCTGGGCAGCATGAGACATGAAAGCATGAGACGGGAGCATTTTACAGTTCGGAGGAAGGCAGCTGCGCTGAGATTGGAGATGAGGCCGCTGAGGCTAGCTGGGAGACACTGGGGTGCAGGGCCCAGCTGCTGCTGGTCACTGGCCTCCACCCCTGCTGCGGTCCGTCATCTAGCCTGCATTTCAAGCCAGGTGCTGAGGGTGCAGTGACCTACTTGGATGCCTCAGAGGGATCTAGAACTAACACATTCAAAAATCCAGTGCTTGATCTCCACCCCCAGCCTGACCCTAACTTGCCCCTAGCTTCTCCATCTTGTAGTAAATGGCGTTATCACGGGCTAAGTGGTTCACACTGAAGCCTGGTGGGGGATCCTTGACTCCCGCCCCCTTACTTCCCATCACTGAGGTTACCAAAGGTCCTGCCCTCTGAGTACCACCTTCAAAATGATTCCCCACTTTGTTATTTTTCTACCACCTTTACACTAACACCCTGGTCCTTTGGCTGCCGTCAGCTGCAGCTCTTGTGTGGACCAGGGAGCCTATCCTAATTGCCTCCCTGGTTCAGCTTCCTGTGCTGCAGTTAAGTAACCCATGCCCTAGGCTCCTGACACGCCCCTTTGCCTGGGTCACTGGCTTGTCACTCAGCTGTCTCAAGCAAAGCCAGACCCTTTCCTGCCCTTGAGTCTTTGCATCTGGGTTCTTCTACCTGGAACAACCTGCGTATTAGTTACCTTTCTCATTGCCATGACAAAATTCCAGACAAAAGCGGCCTCCGGAAAGCAAGATTTTTTTTTTTTGGCTTACAGTTTGAGGTTACAGCCCAAGGAGGGGGAGGGCAGTAAGGAGCAGGAGATGGGGCAGCTGGTCCTGTTGCATCTGCAGTCCGGAAGCAGGGAGAATGCTGGTGCTCAGCTAACCTTTTTGTTTTCTGTCTGGGACCCTAGCCCATGGGATGGTGCTGCCTGCCTCAATTAATCTAATCTAGAAAACTCTTCACAGACTTGCCAACCACAGTTCCTCCTCCCTCCCCTCCCTCCCCTCCTTCCCCTCCCCTTTCCCCCCAAACCCACTCTCATCCACTCCTCAGACAGGGTAAGGCCTCCCATGGGGAGTCAGGAAAGCCTGGCACACTCAGTTGAGACATGACAAAAACCTATTACTGTTATTAATTTTTGCTCTGTTATTTAGGAGTAAACCTATATATAACCCTTTACCCCAAACATTCCAGTGTCTCTCCTTAAGAACAGGGGTACTCTCTTGCGTGCCTCAGCTTCAGGGCTGGGGATGTGGTGCAGTGGTGGAGTTCACAGTTAGCATGTGAGTTCCATCTGCAGCCAACAGCCAACCAAACCAGCAAGGAAGTGTCGGGGTTCAAAGATTGGATCCTGGAAGCAGCGTCAATACTTTTACTACTGTAAAGTTCACATTCAGGCATTTCCAGTTGTCCTAGTGCTCTTCTCAGGACTATCATCCATAGACCTAAGACCCCAAGTTTTGTTTGGTTGTAAACTCCATTAGTGTCCTCCCTCAGATTTGCCTTTCATGGGATGAACAGAATAGAGGGGACCGGCCAGGTGAGTAGGGCTGTGTTGGCTTTGCCTGACCATGGATGGCTTCACTGTGACCTTGACACAGGGATCTCTTCATGCCCATCAGATCTAAGTGCCCGGAAGAGGCATTTCCAGGCCACACTCTGTCCCCGTCTTCCTTCTGTTTCTCCACCCTAGTCTTCCATTCCCTCTCAGTGAGCAATCTTTGGCTTATTGTCTCTGTCTCCATGAAGAGACTGAAAGCCACAGGGTTGTTTCTTGGTTGTGTCCCAGTACCTCTCAGGAAGCAAGGTATGTGACGCACCCAAATGCGACTTCAGTGCATGGCTGGCTGCTGACGACATGAAGGTGACAGTTTCCCTCTCCCCATCCTATGAGCTGGCTGGACCCCAGAGGAATATGTGCAAAGACCAGGCTCAGCCTGGAAGGCAGGCTGGCCCTTCCCATGACCCTGTAGTTGGTTCTCAAACCCCATCCGTGGGCCTCTGTGCAGGAGTGATGCTGATGGGTGGGGTGTGCCCCTAGCTATCACAAAAGCAGAGCTTCAGGGGAGGCAGCTCCAGGTTACTGAGCACTGTCCTCTGATGTACGAGTTTGTAGTTTGGTGGATGTCCAGACATACAGATGCAATATGGCATAGTCTAAAAACCATGATGGCAATACATAACCCAGTGCCAAGGGAACAAAAGGATCAGGGAAGCCTTCATAAAGAGTATACTTGATTAGGACTTTGAAGTATGTGTAGGAGTTTGCCAGTTTTTTTTTAAAGGAAGTAAGAGAACTAAGAAGACATGCTGGAGTTTTTACTAAGTCTGAAGTTTCGGAGTGTGGGATCCAATAAGAAATATGCTCCTGTTTGTTATGGGTAGATTTGGATGGTCTCTGGGTGGCAGTGGGGACTCTAGAGGCTTTGGAGCAGGCAAGATCAGGGCCGTGAAAGGTTGTTCTGAGTTTGCTCAGGAAGAGGGGTGCTGTGTGCATCATGAAACTGATATCTGGACTACTTACATTTCCTCCATCCAGGTGAGGGAGGACTGGAAATATGTTGCCATGGTGATCGACCGCCTGTTCCTCTGGATTTTTGTCTTTGTCTGTGTCTTTGGCACCATCGGCATGTTCCTGCAACCTCTCTTCCAGAACTACACCGCCACTACCTTCCTCCACTCTGACCACTCAGCTCCCAGCTCCAAGTGAGGCCTCACACATCTGCAGCTCTTCACCCTGTGACCCCTGGGGCTCAGTAGTACTGGGTGGAAGATGGGTCTGTCCCCCTCCACCAAAGCCGTTCCACACCGCCATTCACACATAGCCCAGGCTGGACCAGCTGCCTTGTGTTCAAGCCTTCTCCTCTCCCCCTGAGCTAATTCAGGCAGTAGTGTTAATGGTGGGAGCCGGGGCTGGTAAGCAGAGGCCAGAGGTCTCAGAGTCATCTACCTTGAGAAGAGTGCTGGAGAAGGAGCCAAGAAAGGGCCGAGTTACCTATGGCCTCCAGGTCATCACGGGAGGAGGTGGGAAGGAGGGGCTGACAGCGGTGACGACTTTGATAGGGCAGAGGAGTGTGGCCAGTAACTGGCACCCACCCACCCAAGTGCACAGCGGCTGGTCTGGGAGGACTTGCAGTTTTAGGGGGTCCTCCTGAGGGCTGGTCCTACAGTCTCCTGAGACACTTCAACTTAGTCTCACAGCCTGTGCTTTGGAGGCCTCCAGAGCCCAGTTCCAGGTCCCCTTCTGCCAGTGCAGAATTCTCTGCAGCCCTAGATTTCCCTCTCCTTTCTCACTTGGAAAGGTAAGGCGTTAGGGGAACCTCTGAAGGTCGTGGACGAGGTGAGAATTCTAGGATCACAGTCTCAGAAGAACTGTCCCAGCGCTGGGTTCCAGTGGGAACCATGTCACAGATCTGGGACAGGCTTGGAAAGTGAGCGAGCCCCTTCCACCTTGGAGGACCTACGTGAACTGTGAATCTGAGCTGTGCCTTAGTGCACTTTCCAGTTGTCAGATGGGCTCATGGGCACCTCTGCTTGGTGGCAGACTTCCTTCTACTAGAACAAGAAGTTGCCTGTATTAGGCCTCCCCCCGCCCCAAACTTCCAGTCTTAGAGAGAGCACCCCGGCATCATGAGCAGCAACTGGAAAGGCACTGCCCCAGCAGAGGGCAGCACCGGTGCAGGCCTTTCAGCCTCCGTGAGACCCTACCAGCTGCTGCTGTGACTACCCCGGACTTTACTACCTCCTGTAACTGGCTGTTGTACAAATTAGTCACTAGCCTGGGCTGGAAAGGCCAGAGAGCAATTTGTCCCGACTCCCGCCCCCCCCCCCCCATGTCCTGTTGAACATGTCAGACAGACAGTGCCCATCTTAGCACCTGCTTTCAGCACTTGTACAGTGGGAACAGGTTGGCAGGGCGTGATGGGTGCAAAGGGCCTGTGTGTGTGAAGGGTCCTGGGGCAGTGCTGCTCCCCCATTTTGGGTGCAGCCTTTTGTGGAAGACGGCAATAGTTGAGGGTGGTAGGAACTGTCACGTGTCAGGACAGCGAACCCTAAAGTATCCTGGGAGACTTTGGGGAAACTCAGTCCCTGCCACTTTGGGGCCTTCTGTTTCTACCCCTGGTGGTGTTGGGAGGCTCCCTGCCTCCTACGTGCAGCTGTCTCTGGAGAGAATTAGGTACCTGGCTGGTTGAGCCTGGGTGGGAACCTGGGACAGGGAGGCATGGGAGTGACAGTGAAGAAACGAGTTGGGATTCCCATCAGTGACCAAACTCCAGTAATATGGCAACCATGTTTGCCTGGAAAGATGGCCCACGGGCTCCCTGCCTCTGTGGAGACTACAAGTCTGGAGCAGCTGGTCCCAAGAGTGTGGAAATACGAAAGCAAACGGCACAGGGGCCTCCAGATTTTTTTGGGGGGGGGACAAAAGGGGAAGGGAAGAAGTTCCTTGTAAGGAACAAGGACAATGGGGGACTGGCCACTGTGCCTATCTGTCCTCTGGGACTCCACCTCTGACAGCCCTGGGGAAGCAAGCTCCCGAGAGACCAGGAGCAGCCTCAGAGCAGTGTCTGGTACCCGCCACTGCCTGTCATCAGGGCCTGTGGGCACATGGGAGACCTCCTAGGGAGGAAAGCAAAGGCCTGTAGAGCTTTTGCTGAGTTGTCCCCAAGCAAGGTCACATAGTCCCTGTTGTCACCCTCTGCTTCCAGGCAGAAGTGGCTGTTGAGCCTCACTCACATTGGCCAGCTTCTCATTCCCCGAGCCCAACTGGACAGAACATTGTCACGTGTAGTCATTATTCCATCGCGTCTGACAAGTCTGTCAGTGTGCTGGTCACGTGCTTCCCAGAGGACTGAAACTTTGGAACTGGTAGGACACCCCGCCACCCACCTTCAGCACACTCGTCTTTATGTGTCCTTCCTTGTCTCCACTCCTGGACTATTTGCCGTGGTCCACATCCCACCCCCCCAAACCTACCACCCCACCCCCAACCCTGTAGCTGAACTCGTAGCTCTTAAACATGTTTCCAAATATGTCTTGTTACTTCGTTTTGTTTGGGGAAGGGGGCTTCCAGACAAGGTTGACACAATCATAAGGGCAGAATGCCAGAGAACCCCACTCAAGCAAGGGAGGGTAAGGCATGCACAAGCCGGAACAAAAGGTGAGGGGCAGCAGTCAGTGTCACCTGCTCCCCCCTATTGGAGGCTGGGCCCAGGACGGACCTTTGGGGAGGACTCTCTGTAAGGAACCAGCAGGGGCAAGGTGGGCTGGGGCGTCCTCTCCAGCCCGTGTGGCTTCAGTCAGCTGCCAGGCTTATCTGTGCCCAGATCCTGGGATCAGAGTGAAACTGGGTGAGCCTCTCGCGGTCTTCACCTTCCGCTTTAAGAAAACTGTCTACTATCTTCAAATTTGGGAGCCACTTGTGCATGCCAAGCAGTACTCTACCCTGAGCAACACTTATAGCCCACAATGCTGGCTGCATCAGAGACTGGAATACTCCGTTTCCCTGCATGTGGGCCAGTGACTGCCTGAGGACAGGGGCATCGGGGACGCCAGGACAGCAGAGCTGTCACCTTGAGCTGCCTTTGAAACTGCTCAGTTCTGAGCACTGCACCTGAACAGGTGGTGAACGACACCACATAAGGCCCTGGCCTTAAGTGCCGTGACCCGAAACATGTCACTGGGCCTTCTGACCTCAATCGTGCTGTCTGTGTTTCACTCAGCGTCCTCAGGTACGGTATTACTGTTGAAAGGCCAAAGGCCAGTCCTCCGGGGATTCTGGAGGAAGTTACTATGCAGGAAGAGCTGAGCTCCCTTTAAGTTTAAGAGGGAGACTTCGGATACCAGTCACAGATTTAAAAGATGCAACTAACCCATCCCAATTTCCAGCTGCAACTCCCTTCCCAACAGCGCATACAGGTGCAGTCAGGGCTGACACAGCGCACACAGGTGCAGTCAGTCAGGGCTGACACAGCGCACACAGGTGCAGTCAGTCAGGGCTGACACAGCGCACACAGGTGCAGTCAGTCAGGGCTGACACAGCGCACACAGGTGCAGTCAGTCAGGGCTGACACAGCGCACACAGGTGCAGTCAGGGCTGACACAGCGCACACAGGTGCAGTCAGTCAGGGCTGACACAGCGCACACAGGTGCAGTCAGGGCTGACACAGCGCACACAGGTGCAGTCAGGGCTGACACAGCGCACACAGGTGCAGTCAGTCAGGGCTGACACAGCGCACACAGGTGCAGTCAGTCAGGGCTGACACAGCGCACACAGGTGCAGTCAGTCAGGGCTGACACAGGTGCAGTCAGTCAGGGCTGACACAGCACACACAGGTGCAGTCAGTCAGGGCTGACACAGCGCACACAGGTGCAGTCAGTCAGGGCTGACACAGCGCACACAGGTGCAGTCAGGGCTGACACAGCGCACACAGGTGCAGTCAGTCAGGGCTGACACAGCGCACACAGGTGCAGTCAGGGCTGACACAGCACACACAGGTGCAGTCAGGGCTGACACAGTGCACACAGGTGCAGTCAGTCAGGGCTGACACAGAGCACACAGGTGCAGTCAGGTCTGACATAGCGCACACAGGTGCAGTCAGTCAGGGCTGATTGCGTGGGAGGAAAACATGGGCGAAGCCGGCAGGAGCAGCGGTTAGTGTCTCCTGTGCCGTTTCTTCATTTGGGGCTTTGGAATCTGACATAACCCCTGTGAGCAGGAAAGGAGAAGGGGGCTCAGATGCCGAGGGGCGGTGTGAAGCAGCTAAGAGCCGGGGACTTGCGTGGCTGGGGCACCCAGCTCATCACCTACCCACTCAGGCTGTCGGAGCAGCGGGGGCCTCGAAGCAGCTGTGGCTGCCGTGAGAGATTTAATGTCACAGGTCTCTGTCCCCAGTCTCACCTCCTCCAAGCAACTAAGACACGACACTTTCTAACAGTCCTGTTGCTTCCGTGTTTTTATTTCTGAGGAGAGTATACTGTCATTTAAGGGACACAAGAAGGGACTGCATCCATCACAGCACCAAGGCTACGCCTGGGCTCTTCCCCACTCTTCTCCTGGAGTCACGGTCAGAACCCCAAGGCCAACAACAACCCCTTCAACTTGAGTACAGGAAATAGTTTCAAGCATTGACAATTCTTACACGTGATTAGTCAGAGAATGCAAGACAGTCACAGTTCAGACAAATCAACTACAGAAATTAGTAAACGGTGTGGAGGGAAGGCTTTGCTTCTTAAAAGGTCACACAAACAAGTGAAGGAAACATGGTGGGGCCTGGAGGCAGGGTGTGTGCCGGGGGTTCCCCGCAGCAGGCCCGAGAACAGCGGGTACCTTGCCCTCCTCCATCTGCGGAAACCCAGAACCACAGTTTGTTAGCCAGGATCTCGAGGGTGAAGGTGGCGCTCTGGTTTGGAGCCTGGTTGAGGAAGAGGCTCCTGAATCAGCTCTGCCAAATGAATACCCAGGAAGGACCAGAGGGGCAGAGAAATCAATGGGGAAGAGTCCCTGTCCTGCCCAGGTCCAGAAGCCACAATGGCGCTGCTTCAGAAGCAGCTGCCCCCAGCTGACACCACGACCACGGTGCTACGGCAGACACTAGCAGCTCCATAGGATAATCTGGTGTTGTGCAGAGACATCCCCAGTGCTTTAAGACATAGGTTCTTGAGTTGGTCAGGTTTGATGACAGGTTGAGGAGACAGTAGCCATTACAATCAAAGTGCAAATGATATCGTTGCTGTTGGCAGTGGGCCAGAGGGTGGGGGAGCCAGGCAGCACGGAGGGGTGGGGGAGGGAGCAACGGAGTGCAGGAAACCACTGACACGGCTGTTCCCAGACGGAGCCACCCCATTCAGAGGAAAGGCGTGGGCTTGGTCCTATGGGCCAGAACGGAGCAAGGTCTGGCTGTCTGACTTGTGCTAGAGCCAGACTCTACACAGAGGCTAAGGCTCCTACATACCCACAATTCAATGTTCGGGGGAGGAGGAGTCAAAGGAGCCCACCCACAGCAGGAGGCTAGCCTGCCCTGTCACCTACAACAATGCTGTACAACATATATATATATATATATCAAGATTCCTGAAGGGGCGGAGCAGGTCAGGAGCTCAAAGTCCCTTTGTGCCCTGCCCATGAACCAGCTTCTGAAGCCATCTTGTAAAATGAAAGTACATTCACTAATGCAAAAATATATTTGTATCTCAAATCTGTAATGCAGTCCAGAATCAATACCTCTGGCCTTTTAGAAATATTGATTTTACACAAGCCTTTGTCAACTTCTGCTGGTAACAGTGCCATGAGAAAAATCCCAAGTAGACCAGTAGCTCGCCAACATGATGCTTTGTATTTCTTCTGTGCAGTCTGGACAAAGATGACCTACCCTCCATGGCTTGTCCTCAGCTTGTCACAAATACCTGGAGCCTGCAGCCCCATGCCACACATGGGCAGATTAGATTCCAGGAATGCTTTACAGAAGGGCAGACAGGGCTACATCCCAAGGATTGCTGCACCCTGGTTAGTGCTCTGCTGGTTCCTGCTGGGGAACCTGCTCATCTTGAGCACCTCGCCCAATCCCACATCTGGTTCTCAACTTCCCTGCTGCCCAGGAAGGAAGTTCCCTGGCTGGCCAGCACGGCCTGTTTATTATTGGGCAGGGCTTGCCTGCCCCAACCACATTCTAATTGCCTTGCGACCCCTGACCACAGTTTTCAACCCCTGCCCTTGTAAACATTTCCCTGATCCTTCATGTTCACCTCCTCGTCCTCTGGAGTGGGGAAGGAGAAACATCACCACAGAAGGAATCCTAAGGGGGGATTAGGGACCCGCAGATCTACAGACGTGAAATCATTAGTCCCTGGCATGATTCACAGAGAACGGATGGGAATGCAATCGAATTCACAAGAGGTCCGCGTAGCAAAGGGAAGGAGATGAAAAAACTGCACAAGACTAAACTGGAAGGGACCAGGCTGCAGGGGCCGGGGGCTGGCTATGCTACGTGTGGAATGACAATGCCCCCTCTTCTTTAATCCCTGCCTCTTCATTTGGGAAAGGGGGAGGAGGCTTGGCCAGACCCCTACCTCATAATCCCAAAGGAAGCAGGATAAGTGGGAACCACAGGTCTTGGTGCCATCTATTATGGTTCCTCTAGTAAAAGGGGGGAGGGAGAGGTCTAACAGAAAGCCCCTGAACTCTGGCCCAATGTGATGAGGAATGCCATGAACTCCCTCTGACCCCATGGGAAACGCGCCCCACTGTCAGTCATTGGGGACTGGACAGAGATAAAAGTTCTTTTCCTCCTGGGGTTTGCTGATCCAATTCCCATAGCCCATGTCCCGCAGGCTCTTCTTGAAGTAGTTCTTGGCTAACTCGTAGTCGCGGGCAGCTTTCTTGGCCTCGCCGTAGGAGAGCTGCAGGAGATCTCTGCGGGCACGGAAGGAGCAGAGCCTCTTAAATTGAAGGAAAATGTTCTTCTTGGACACCCGAGATAACTCCTTCCCTGGGCTGGGGAAACAAAGGCACTGGTTGTTCATCTGGAAGCAGGAGAGGGGGGGCTAAGGTGTGAATTTCACAGAAGGCGGATGGCCATTAACTCTGGAGACTAGCAGGCACAGGCCTGCCCTTGGGAGTCTGGCAGCAAACCTGGCTGGGCCTCTCCCCGCTCCTTACCCATCCACGGTGCCTCTGGTGCCATCCAGGATCTCTAGGTCATAGCCATCGGCCAAGCACCAGTTGACGCTTGTTTCCTTGGTCTTTCCGGATTGCCTTTTGGAATCATACACACTGACTCGGCCGACCTAGGAGCCCATGGAGTGATGGAAGAAAGGGAACCCTTTCAGTGCAAAGGTTTGGGAGCAGGGATGCAAGAATTCTGGCTTGGGGGTATGATGCCCTGATCTTCCCCTGGAGAGCTGCACTAACTTCAGCATGGTTCAGACTCACTTCAGACAGAGTTTAAGCCTAGACACCCAAAGGGAGGAAAAGCTTGCTCTTGGGAGACCAGCAAAGGCTTCCCTTTCCACAGTACACAGCTTTGTATAAGGAGGAGGTATGTGCCAAGAGCCAACAGAATGGGGTTATAGCACCTTGGGGTGGTTGACAATAAAGGGATAGCGTAGTCCGTCCTCAAATGCATTCCCATCTCTGGTCACGCGGCAGCAAATGGCACGGGTCAGATGCCCTTGGCTGAAAAGGTAACCTGGGTGAAGACAAAAGCAGGTTTGCTGGGTCTGCAGCAAGTGCTACCAAGAGCAGAGGCTCACAAAGAGATGGAGGACGAGAGCCATCGGAATGGAGAAACAGACCCTGTGATGCGAAGCATCGTGACCACACGAGACACAGGCAGGGAGCCGGTGGGAAGGGAGACAATAAGGCTCTAAGAGGGCTCCCTGGACCCCGGATCCAGTCTGGCATATCTTTCTTCGGTTTGCTGCCCACGCCCACCTTCCCTGCCACAGCGGCCTGGGCACTTAGACCCCATTCCTAAGGTAAAAATCAAGCTCGCTTGGGAAGGGAGAGGCATATGAATACAGGACAGCACGGCCTATAGCTTCTGGCATCTGAGCCAAAGTCAGGTGGGTTCCAGCTCCCAAGGTAAGTCCCTTACCTAGTGTTACAGATTTCAGGTACACAGGCTGGAGGAAGTGAGTCAACAGTGCCCCTTGCAGGCCCAGCACATTCCAGCGTAGAATTTTGTCACTACAGGACATGGTACGGAGTCTTTCCCCAAGGCGGATGCCATCCCACGTGGGTACGATGTCACTGGACTCCACAGGAATCGTGCCTTCCCCTGCATGAGATGAGTTGGATCGATGAAGGTCACCACACCAAACCACATCCTGGGCACACTATGTGTGCTTCTGAGGTATGGGCCATTGGCGGCTCGTATTTTATGGCACCTACTACGTGTCCTACTGCGTGCTTGGTACTGACAATGAGAACAAGACTTTGTTTCTTGCTACGTTTGAGCAAACGGACACATATGCTCACATACTCGAGACTCGATGGGACAGCACAGAAACGGTGAGGACAGAGGAGTGGGGAGCTGAAGCAAGGGGGACAAAAGAGCTGCGGTGAGTGTCACAGACACAGAGAACAGCACTAGCGAAGTTCCCGCGACAGCAAGTGGTCTGGGGCTCCAGGGAACCAAGAGCAGGTACCACCGCAGCAGGCTGAGGGGAAGAGTGTAGGTGAGGCTGGAGGCTTCTGCCTTCGCAGAGTTCAGGGGGGACCCACGTCCCCTCAGCTATACTTCTAGCCTGTTCTAGCTGGTTTTGTGTCAACCTGACACAAGCTAGCGTTAACAGAGAGGAAGGAGCCTCAGTTGAGGAAATGCTTCCATGAGATCCAGCTGTAAGGCATTTTCTCAGTTAGTGATCAATGGGGGAGGGTCCATCCATGATGGGTGGTGCCATCCCTGGGCTGGTGGTCCTGGGTTCTATAAGAAAGCAGGCTGAGCCGGACACTGGTGGCGCACGCCTTTAATCCCAGCATTAAGGAGGCAGAGGCAGGCGATCTCTGTGAGTTCGACACCAGCCTGCCTTACAGAGCAAGTTCCAGGACAGGCTCCAAACCAAAACAACACAGAGAAACCCTGTCTCAAAAAAACAAAAAACAAAAACAAACACAAACAAAAAAGAAAGCAGACTGAGCAAGCCATGAGTAGCAAGCCAGTAAGCAGCTCCCCTCCATGGCCTCTGCATCAGTTCCTGCCTCAGGGATCCTGCCTGAGTTCCTGCCCTGACTTCTTCAGTGATGAACAGCAATGCCGAAGTGTAAGCCTAACAAACCCTTTCCCCCCCACCTTGTTTTTTGGTTATGGTGTTTCATTGCAGAGATAGCAACCCTAAGACAGTCCTAGTTTTAGTATTACCATTTAGTGTGAAGGTGTAGCAGGGGTGTGTGTGTACTCATTAGTATAATTCTTTTGTGTGCATGCAAGCACATGT